CCCCCTCCCCTCTCCTCCCCACCCCCTCCAACAATCCCACCCCTCCCGCCCTCACCCCCACCCACCCGCCCCGCCTACCCCCCCCGCCCCTCCTCCACCCACCCACCGCCACCAACCCCCCCCCCCCCAGCCCCCTCCCTCTTCACCCTCCCACCACCGCCCCCCCGCTACCAGCCCACCCCCCCCTCGCCCCTCCCCGTAACCCCCCCTCCCCCTCCCACACCCGGCATCCCGCCCCTCCTATGTAGGAACACTCATAGAAACGTGCCGGCCCCCCGCCCCACACCCCTCCCCCCCCCGCGCCCCGGACTCCCGACTCCACCCCCCCCTCCCGTTGCCCGCCGACGCCCCCCCCCCCCCCCCGCCCTACCCCCCCCTCCCCGCACCCGCTACCGTCCACCCCTCCGCCCCACCCACCCACTCCCTTCCCCCCCCCCTCCGCCCCCCCCTAACTCCCCCCAACTCCCCCCCCCCCCCCTCAGCGCTCCCCCCCGCTCCCCGCAGGGGGGGTCCCCCCCCCCCCCCCCCCCCCCCCCCCCCCCCCCCCCCCCCCCCTCCCCCCCCCCCCCCCCCCCCCCCCCCCCCCCCCCGCCCCCCCCCCCCCCCCCCCCCCCCCCCCCCCCCCCCCCCACCCCCCCCCCCCCCCCTCCCCCCGCCCCCCCCCCCCCCCCCCACCCCCCCCCCCCCCCCCCCCCCCCCCGCACCCCCCCCCCCCCCCCCCCCCCCCCCCCCCCCCCCCCCCCCCCCCCCCCCCCCCCCCCCCCCCCCCCCCCCCCCGCCCCCACCCCCCCCCCCCCCCCCCCCCCCCCCCCCCCCCCCCCCCCCCCCCCCCCCCCCCCCCCCCCCCCCCCCCCCCCTCCCCCCCCCCCCCCCCCCCCCCCCCCCCCCCCCCCCCCCCCCCCCCCCCCCCCCCCCCCCCCCCCCCCACCCCCCCCCCCCCCCCCCCCCCCCCCCCCCCCCCCCCCCCTCCCCCCCCCCCCCCCCCCCCCCCCCTCCCCCCCCCCCCCCCCCCCCCCCCCCCCCCCCCCCCCCCCCCCCCCCCCCCCCCCCCCCCCCCCCCCCCCCCCCCCCCCCCCCCCCCCCCCCCCCCCCTCCCCCCCCCCCCCCCCCCCCCCCCCCCCCCTCCCCCCCCCCCCCCCCCCCCCCCCCCCCCCCCCCCTCCCCCCCCCCCCCCCCCCCCCACCCCCCCCCCCCCCCCCCCCCCCCACCCCCCCCCCCCCCCCCCCCCCCCCCCCCCCCCCCCCCCCCCCCCCCCCCCCCCCCCCCCCCCCCCCCCCCCCCCCCCCCCCCCCCCCCCCCCCCCCCCCCCCCCCCCCCCCCCCCCTCCCCCCCCCCCCCCCCCCCCCCCCCCCCCCCCCCCCCCCCCCCCCCCCCCCCCCCCCCCCCCCCCACCCCCCCCCCCCCCCCCCCCCCCCCCCCCCCCCCCCCCCCCCACCCCCCCCCCCCCCCCCCCCCCCCCCCCCCCCCCCCCCCCCCCCCCCCCCCCCCCCCCCCCCCCCCCCCCCCCCCCCCTCCCCCCCCCCCCCCCCCCCCCCCCCCCCCCCCCCCCCCCCCCCCCCCCCCCCCCCCCCCCCCCCCCCCCCCCCCCCCCCCCCCCCCTCCCCCCCCCCCCCCCCCCCCCCCCCCCCCCCCCCCCCCCCCCCCCCCCCCCCCCCCCCACCCCCCCCCCCCCCCCCTCCCCCCCCCCCCCCCCCCCCCCCCCCCCCCCCCCCACCCCCCCCCCCCCCCCCCCCCCCCTCCCCCCCCCCCCCCCCCCCCCCCCCCCCCCCCCCCCCCCCCCCCCCCCCCCCCCCCCCCCCCCCCCCCCCCCCCCCCCCCCCCCCCCCCCCCCCCCCCCCCCCCCCCCCCCCCCCCCCCCCCCCTCCCCCCCCCCCCCCCCCCCCCCCCCCCCCCCCCCCCCCCCCCCCCCCCCCCCCCCCCCCCCCCCCCCCCCCCCCCCCCCCTCCCCCCCCCCCCCCCCCCCCCCCCCCCCCCCCACCCCCCCCCCCCCCCCCCCCCCCCCCCCCCCCCCCCCCCCCCCCCCCCCCCCCCCCCCCCCCCCCCCCCCCCCCCCCCCCCCCCCCCCCCCCCCCCCCCCCCCCCCCCTCCCCCCCCCCCCCCCCCCCCCCCCCCCCCCCCCCCCACCCCCCCCCCCCCCCCCCCCACCCCCCCCCCCCCCCCCCCCCCCCCCCCCCCCCCCCCCCCCCCCCCCCCCCCCCCCCCCCCCCCTTGGACCCACCCCGACATTATATGAACTCACACCCCCCCCCCCCCGGCGGCGGCGCCCCGCGCGCTCACCCCCCCGCCAGTAGCGAGCCCACGGCCGCCCCCCGTAGTACCCCCCACCGTCACGCACCATCCCGCCCCCCCGCACCGGCCATCCCCCGCGGCGGCACCCGCACCCACAGGCAGGCGCCAACTGCCTCCAGCACCATAGAGGCCACAATGCTCACACAGGTGTTATACCGTCCCTCACACTCACCCTGGTGCAGCTCCGGTTGTCTTAGTGAAGAAAAAGGACGGTAGCTTTCGGCTGTGTGTTGACTATCGACGTCTGAATGGGGTCACTCGAAAAGACGTGTTTCCTCTTCCTAGAATCGACGATCTCTTCGACGCGCTCGGGGCTCAGCTTACTTTAGTACGTTAGATCTGGGATCTGGTTATTGGCAGGTAGAAGTTGAGGAGAGCGACAGGGCGAAGACGGCGTTTGTTCTTCCGTCGGGCCTTTATGAGTTTCAGACGATGCCTTTTGGACTATCGAACGCCCCCGCAAACTTTCAACGCCTCATGCAGAAGGTTCTGCACGAATTAATCCCCCATAAATGTCTCGTTTATTTGGATGACGTCATCGTGCATGGAAAAACAAAGGATGAACACTTAAACAACCTAGCGGAGGTGCTAACGTGTTTAATAAAGGTGGGCCTCAAACTCCAACCGACAAAATGCCACTTTCTACCAAAAGAAGTTGCCTATCTTGGACATATCATTTCTGAGACGGGCATTCGGACGGATCCTCTTAAGACAGAACAGGTGAGAGCTTGGCCAACCCCCACTAGTGTCGAGGAATTACGCAGCTTCTTGGGGCTGACTTCGTACTACCGCCGTTTCATAAAAGGCTTCTCAGAGGTCGCAGCACCTTTAAACGCGCTGTTACAAAAATGTTGTATTTTCGATTGGAGTATTGAATGTCAAGCGGCTTTCGACCGACTACGTGATTTCCTCTGCACTAACCCTGTTCTTGTCTTCCCAGACTTGTCGGCACACGCTGGGGAGTTCGTTCTGGATACGGATGCAAGCGACCAGGCGATTGGAGCTGTGTTATCACAGAAAGGGTCAGATGGTCGGGAGAGAGTAGTGTCTTACAGCAGTCGGACTCTTACCTCAAAAGGAACTATTGTACAACCAGAAAAGAAATGTTAGCACTAGTATTCTTCAGAAAGCAACATCGCCATTATCTGCTGGGGAGGAAGTTTGTAGTACGGACAGACCACCAGTCTCTCAAGTGGTTGCAGAATTTCAGGGACCCCGAGGGGCAAATCGCTCGTTGGCAACAGCAATTACAGGAGTATGATTTTGAGTGTCACCACCGGCCAGGCAAACAACATGGCAACGCGGACGCGCTGTCCAGAATACCACTCCGCAACCACGGCGATTGTCCTTCGTGTATCACACAACACGTAGCGCTAGTTAACCTCCAAGGAGCTGAGTACGGTCGTTGGCAAGAGGCACAAGCTTCAGACCCAGACATCTCACTTATCTACGACAAACTACGCTCAGGTGGTGATAAACCGACTCCGAAGGAGATGGAAGGGAAAAGCTATGAAGCTCGGTGTTTGTGGGCGATGTGGGACAGGCTCGCGATTGAAGAGGGGGTGCTAGTGTTTGATTTCGGCCCAACATACGTTCGGAGAGTCGTTGTTTCGCAACCCTTAGTTACCGAAGTGTTCTCGGAGCTGCATCAACAACTGGGACACGCTGGAGTTAACAAACTCGTGACCGCAGCACGACGCCGATTTTGGTGGCCGCATCAGCGAAGGGATATAATGAACTTTTGTCAAACGTGTGAGAGGTGCGCGACGTTCAAGAGTCCACGAATAGCCCACAAGGCACCGCTGCAATCTGTAACGGCAGGTTATCCGAACGAGATTGTGGGAGCCGACCTCATTGGTCCTCTACCGGAAACACCGCGAGGGAATCGATACATCCTAGTCATGGTGGATTATTTCACCAAATGGTGCGAAGCCGTGCCGATCGCGCAAGCTGACACCGTCACCGTGGCAACAGCGATGACAAACCATTGGGTTTGTCAGTGGGGAGCACCGGGACAGCTGCATTCGGATAGAGGGTCCTGTTTCGAAAGCTCGCTGGTGCAGGAAACCTGCAGTGTTGGGTATTGATAAGACGCGAACGACGGCGTATCACCCTCAAGGTAACGGACAAGTGGAACGCACGAATCGGTCGTTAAAGTCGTTGCTGAGAGCCTTCGTAGACCAGAACATTTACGATTGGGATATTTTATTACCTAAGTGCTTGCTGGCATATCGAAGTACGGTCCACTCATCTACGGGGCAAACGCCATCTCTCATGTGGACTGGAAGAGAATTTCGGCTTCCTACAGACGTCCGACTACCTATATCGCAACGTCTGTATCCGTCTGTAACCGACTACGTCAGTAGACTTCTCGACTCTATTCGACAAACGCATCAGGCTGCGCGCGTTCATTTGGCGAACGCCCAACGACGGCAAAAGGAATACTACGACAAAAAGGTTTTTGGCGTTCCGTTGAAGACAGGCGAGCTCGTGTATTTGCATCAGGCATCAACGACGGGGATACCAGCGAAGCTACATCACGAATGGTCAGGTCCTTACGTTGTGCAGAGAGTAATATCTGATTTGACTTGTGTGATTAAGGATCCAAACAACCCCAGTGCACAGCCGATGATTGTACACTTTAACAGGCTTAAACCATTTCGTAGTGAAACTGACCACCCAGGCGGGGAACTCCACGAGGAAACACCGACAGAGATAGGGGCTGAAATAGAAGTACCGGCTGAAGGAGGCTACGGTGTGGCAACGGGGACGTTGCATACTTAGAGGGGGTGCGGTGTAACGAACATTCGATACCATTGTGGCGCGTGATCGAATTTGAATCGTTGCTTTTACGGCGTCTTTCCCCGTTTGCCTTCCAGAGCGCCATTCCTGTGCAGTTACCGAAGAAGGACAAGAACCCGAAGAGAACGGTTAACTGTAACGCTTCTTTCATTCATTTTATGTTACACTGATTTCTTCTTATAGAGCCTACGTGTTGTTTAATAGAAGTTCCGTCCGATACCTGGACTTCTTCCTGACCTGTATACTACAGTTCCCCATATCGTTTGCCGAGGTGTCAAGTGGTTTTCAATCACATGCAGAAGAAGAACATTCCGGAACGTTCGAAATCGATGCGATAATCGTTAATAATCGAATACTCGCTAAAATAGGGAATTTCCAAGGCAATTCTTACTTTCTCCCGGACACGATCTGACCATAAAGACGAGGAAATTACGCTACTTCGCAGCAGGATTGCAGCAGTGAAGGTTTCGAAGCAGCGTATGCCACAGTCAGATGTAGATCACTTTTTGGCTACCCTTCATTGTGGCTCGTCTGTGCATGCACCGAGTATGTCTCGTTTGACAAAAAGGCGCAGCATTTTCTCTGCACGTTCTCAATCTGACAATACCAGATCCGTAATCATTGTAATCATTGTATTATAGAGAGCAGAAGGAAAGACCTTTGTCAGCTCCATCACCTCCCAATCATAGCAGGTTGTTACCACCGTCATATGATGAAAGAGCTAGACGTTGTCGGGCTCCCTGCATTAGAACGACTCAGCCGCTTCAAGGAAAGCGAATATCCCGCATACTAGCACGGCCAACACATCTGTCAATAAGCAAACAGATCGCCTGTTTTACGTTAAGAACGACGTTTAACTATCCCGTTCCTCATCGACACGGAGCTGAACTCAGCGTCGTCTCTGCGAACGCAAGCGACAAGCACTCAAAGCCTACGTGCAACCTGCGTGTGACCAGCGGTTTTCCGTTAGCTTCATTCGGTCAACGCATGATGAACCTGGACCTCGGTCTCCTCCGAAATTTTCAGTGGGTTTTCATGGTTGGGTCTGTAACCTTCGCAATTATCAGTATCGACTTCCACCGACGTTTTGGGTGGCTTGTTGATGCTGGTCGCCACATACTTTAAGACGATCGTACTAAGCTAGGGGTTTATGGCGTTCTTACAGATGTCTCGATAATCAGTCCCGCTTTCCGATTATCAGACATACCTTCAGATTATGCGCACCTACTGTCTGAATACCCGCGACTGGTACAGCTAATATCATCATCAACAGCAGTACATCAGACATTTGGACTGATGCCTCGCTGCCATACAACCATGAGGACTTATAAAATAAAGAATAAGAAGAGCGAGAGAAGGGGAACTTACCTGAAAATCTTAATGCCCTAAGCAAACATTCAGAGTCAAAGCGCCTACACCTTGTGTAGACAACATCCCGTCACGAACAGCTGGTTATCGTGCAAAGCTAAGGCAGCATCGGCGAGACAGCTTCCTTGCGGCTTTCACTGCCACGCGTCATAATCAGCCATTACCCCGTAGATAACTCAGCACCAAACACACTTTAAAAAGGAAATCCGATTTGGAAACGGCAGCAGACGCGCCACTGGTGTCGGTTGCGAGCCATGTCCTGTAAAGTCTCGAGCCGAGCACAAGGCGAGTCACTTGGACTCCAGCCCAGAAAGCGAGACGGACCAACGGCTCCCAATTTGGTTGTCAGTGACTTCATTTCCCGCTGCCAAGTCAACTTCTGTCCACCTCGAGCCTTGCGCCACCCTACACCTGACAAACTAAACAAGGCCCTCCTCGGTAAGTGGTGACCAGGCATACGTAGCACGTACCCGAGCCAACGCAACTTATTCAGTGCTATCTGTTGTTTTAGGGTGCTAGCATGATTATCACTACCTAGTACTCGCCTACGCAAATCATCGTTGGGGATACGCTGGTGCCATCCGACACCAGCAATGCTTCGCAGACAACGATGATCAAGGACTTGGAGGCGCCTCAGATCTTCAGACCTAAGGTGCCCAGTCTCACTACCATAGAGCAGAACGGTCGTCACTGTGGCCTTGTATACACGGTCTTTCAGACGGAGGGAAATTCCCTTCTGTCGCCAAAGATGATGCAAGTTCAAGAAAGCAGATCTGGCCTATGCAATGCTTGAGCTGACGTCAGTTTCTATGCGCCCATCATTGCTGATGCAGCTGCCAAGATAAGTGAAATGATCAACCACCTCGAGTTCCTCGTTAG